TGACGTGCAAACTTGTGTCTTCTGGGGATTGAATTAGACTAGATTTAGTCGCCCTCAATCCGAGACTTTGTTAAACGAAGACTCGATTTCTGACACAAGTTTGTCCCGGTACTCTAAGACGATTTCCTGAAAAATATTGGCACGGCCGGTGTATAAGGCATCACCATTGCTGTCGTCTGCATAGCAATGAATGTTATCAGTTTGTAACATATCATTGGTATGTAGAAGAAACAGCGTTGGTGATAGCACGCAGCCTTGTGGGACACTAGCGTTAACATGATTGTAATCAGAGCATGCACCGTCTACTACGACCTTGATGCTCCTATTTGCAAGAAAAGTAGTGATCCAATAGCACAATTTCTCCGGAAAAGGGAACTTCGAAAGAAGCGCTTTGTGCCAGACCCGATCGAAGGCCTTCGCTATGTCCAAACTAACGGCCAATGCCTCCCCCTTGGACTCTACTGACTCCGCCCACTTATGAGTAAGGTAGACCAGAAGATCACCAGCTGATCAACCACGGTGGAAACCGTATTGGCGGTAACCAATCAGTTGGTGATCCTCAAGGTACCTCATGAGCTGGCAGTTTACAATAGACTCCATTATTTTGGAGAACAAGGAGGTGATGGCGATAGGCCTGTAGTTGGACGGGTCTGAGTCCTATTTTAGTCCTATTTTAGGGATCGGGTGAACCAAAGCTGTCTTCAAAGTATTCGGGACTATGCCTTGGGAGTAGGAGTACCGGAAAAGACGCGTTAAAACCGGAGCCAACTCTGGAACGCACGTCTTCAGCACAATGGGAGGGAGGACTCCATCAGGTCCACTCGACTTACTGACGTCCGTGGAGAAGAGTGCATTGCGAACCGAGCGCCGTGTAAACCGCACATCCGGCATGGAGCACTCACACCTAAGGATGATTGGCGGTGTGTTCTCCCCGTCATCTAGAGTCGAGTTGGACGCAAAGAGAGAGCCTAACAGATTGGCTTTCTCCTTTGTAACATGGGCCAGTGAGACGTCCTCTCTGTGGACAGCCTTGGCGAAAGACCAGAATGCACGGGTTCTCGGAGGAAGGCGAACTAGCTTCTCGCCAATTCTTCCGATGTGCTCAGGCCTTGCCTTGGCAATGAGCCTTTTGAAGAACCTATATAACTTTTATATACAACTTTATATATTTATTCAGCTCAACCAGATGAGGATACTCTATAAATACTCCAAATATAACTTTATTGTACTTACATCATATCAATTTTCAGGAAAATGACAAAAAAGTGTACTTAATGAGTTGTACAGTTGGTGACCTTATTGTTAAAAGCAGTCTCTACCAGGCCAGCTCTGGATGGACAGAAATTTAAAATACCTAAAGACGGAGGTGTACGTTAAAATAAAATAAATAAATTATGAGTAAACCATAAACTACATATCTATGAGTTATATACATATTCAAAATTAACTCTTCATAAAATATTATATTACAATATCACTTGAAAATTAAAAGAAACCGCTATTCAGTAACAGTAAAGGTAGAGTCTCTATCGGCGCCTGCATCATGCGGTATGCGATTGCTCGACATCTGCCAAGTACTGCAATTTCAGTGCACAGAACCGTAAATTATTGTTGATATGTTTATGGGTTATGGTTGAAATATTTTTATTTTTATCTACAACGTTGCCCCGAGCCGAAGTAGCTCTGGCTCAAGGACAAGGTAACAGGAGCGACCTATCTTAACCCCCATTTCGCAAGTATTTGATATCCGTAAGATAAAGTCGATGGAAGCCTTCTATTATCTTATTCGTTATTTTCTATATATATATATATATATATATATATATAATTTTCCATTTATTTTTATTTATATTTGAAACTTTACTGCAGAAGTAGAGGTAGACGAGCTGACTTTATTTCCCAAAATGGCTCCACTTAAAATCAACCGCCCGGGCAAGGCCCTCCTTGGCTAGGGCTACCAGATCCGAAAATGAGTTTTCCTTGCAAAATCCTTAACTTTTTGAATTTCCTGACATGGACGAGGAGGCAGAAAAAATATCTACATAATTATAAAACTCACGCATGTGCTTGACATATTATGCGTAATATTTTAATAAAAAGTACTGTAGTAAGTACTAATTGATATTTGATTAATTTTTTATTATTTTTTGTGCTTAAACTGTTTAAATGATATTTTAATTTGTATTTCTTATATTTATCTCTTTCTATTTATAAATTCCTAAGATTTTCAAATTTTCCCTGTTTCCCTAAGAGAGGGCTAAAATTCCGGACATGTCAGAAAAATTCCTGTCATCTGGTAATCCAATTTCTGGCCCTCCCCTTATTCTGTAATTACGCCACTACTATTCTGTATTATATATTTTACTTCAGTGCAGTGGTGGTGTCAGAATATACACTACCCGTGGGCATCTTCCTGATAATAACTTTAAATATAATAAACTGCGGTTACTAACCCGCTTGCCAAGCGTGTCAACTATGGAGAAATCCCTTTATGAGGCAATCTATGGGGGAGAGGAAGGTCTAAGCTCAGCATTGGGCTTTTATAAGCTTTAATGGATGGATTGATAATGGATATAATTTTCTTTTACTTACTTTTTTTTAACAGCCGTGGTAGCTCAGACGGTTAGCGCTCACTGTAAAGTCAAATTACGCGAGCAACCTGGGATCGATCCCAATGAAATTGTTAATTGCAATCACAAGTGCTGATTTAGCACGTGCTCGGCGGTGAAGGAAAACATCGTGAGGAAACCCGCATATGTAAGTAATAAGAAAAATATATTTCGAAGACATGTAAAGTTCGCCAATGCGCATTTGGGCAGAGCGGCGGACATTTCTTTGCCTATAAACCCTCTCAGAAAGGAGAGAAGGCATGTGCCCAGAAGAAGGACGTAAATGGGCTGTAACTTTACTTATTTTTATCATGAATCTCCCTTCAGATGATAGGCACATTCATATTTGATTAATTCATTTAGAAAGCCAACAGCTCTTACGAATAGATAGAATAACAATCCATTTTTTGATTTTATCAATACAAGCCTATTTCACTTCGATCAACATTGTTGATCGAAGCTATTTCAGTTTCTTTCTTAGTAGGTCTTGGTATATTATATTTCATTCGATCGGATATATAGTTATGGAGATCTCGTGATAAGTGAGTGAGTCAGTGGTTTATATTAGTATATATAGACTAATTTATAAAAATTTGGAACAAAGTTCATTTAAGTGCATATGGTAAGTCAGCTCAAATTCTTATTTCGCCCCCACTTCCCCGCGCGTCGGATGCTATGTACCGACATGTTTGTAATCACTAATACTGTAAGTAGATAGGTCGTTAGATACTTATTTCATTAGGTTTATCATATTTATGCCTGTTTCTTGACGCAAACCCAGTCGCTTCTTATTTTAATTACGGTAACGGTATAAACGGAAATTTGACTTGCACATCCGAAAGTATTTGTTTACATTAAGCGATATACGATGCATTTTACGAATAAGCCGAACACTCGTTGGATTTATTGTAATTGCGTCAGCTTGCGTCAATCGCGAGCCTGATAAGATTCTTTGAGCATATACTCGGGTTCCGTGATTCGAGAACGATCCGGAACGTACGATTCGAAATAAATTCCTTTGTTACTGTAACACTTAGCACATTAAAATTTTTTTAATTATTACACAAGTAATAAAACTAATTTTATAGATTTTATCGTTTTTAGTTACTTATTTTCACTTATCTTAATTCCATACACGTTTTGTGCCTTACAGCACCAGCAGCAAAGAATATGTTTGACGTAATTGTGTCATTGTTATCATAAGCTCGTTCTCCGTAGGCCGCACAAAAAATTATATTCAAAAGTTAAAGTTATGTCATCAGGATGTCATACAACTCGTTCCCCCGCCTAATCATGGGTGATATAAAGTACGCGATTTAAAATTAGTAAAAAAAGTCAAATTAACTGGGGTAAAATAAAATTAGTTTTATTAAATCACAACTTTTTGACTCTCGTTTACGTATCGTCATCGATTAAAATTGTCTGGAAACATAAATAGCGGCCCAGGCAGACGTAAATGGAACTACGTTTTTTCATACAAAGTTATTTGAAGACCATACGAATTCAATACTTTACTAAATTCATTCTCAGGGCACTGTTTATAGTAGTAAAATTTAGCACCTGACGTCGTCTATAAAGCTTAACAGACCGTTTCTGTACGTCGAATGTCAGGGTTGCCATTACTTCTAGGAGTCGCTCCTCTGATGTATTGCAGTTTGGCAAAAATTGGTAAGGTGGTGGTGGTGGATACCCTCTTACCAAAGCAGAATTAGGTTAGAAAGTGTTTAAAAAAGTACATGTGCATATTGCAACTAAGCAACGGAAAGATGTGCCGATTCAGTTTCTTAACGGAAGAAACAACTCTGCACACACACTGATTGTGAAACCTTAATGGGAAAACGTAACATTCATCTGGAAAACTACGTACTTAGACCAGAAAAATTGAAATTGCTCACAGCTCAACAACTCTTTCAATTCATTGAAGATTATCAGCTGTGAACTATAACCATAGCAGCCATCACAATAGATCTTACTGTTGGCACTGGTGGCAGTTATACCTACTGGTCTTATTGGACCTGCAATGCTGTTCGCACCATAAAAAAGCCTCAACATCAACTTACCATTAGGGGGATTGTGAAAATTAAAGAAATATAGATTATGTATCAAAATATAGATGCGTTTCCATCCCTGGAGACTAAGATGGACTGCCTCATTTCCAGTTAAAAGGGTCTCCGGTTCTCTACACTCACCATATTGAAAACAGCAACATTAAACTTTATATAATCTGTGGCTGCGGTCATGTCGGTAGTGAACTTGTAATGATGATGACGAAGAATGTTGAAGAAAATCAATAAATTATGCTTCTCAAATATATTCATGTATATATTTATATGCAAATATATCCTAAGTTCATGCATAATAGATCGATAATAGATAAGTGAAGTCGATATATTATTTCTTGCAATGCCAGTCCATAAATTTCCTGTCCAAATTTTGATCCTTGCATATTACGGCCACATCCGTAGTGAGGGTGGATCCGGTCACGCTCAATATGTCCTTTCTGATCTTCTTCTTCGTGATACAGGGTTTGATGAATTCAAACCACACGTTTCCCAGGATCGACATGAGACTGATGACCGAGAGTCCGAGGAGGAAACCCTAAAAATATTGCATATTATTTAATTAAGATAAGCGCATTTTTAAACCGGTTTTCCCCTTATTCCCGTGGGTGTTGTAGACGCGATAAAGAGGATGATTTGCAGCTGTAGACTTTTGGTAGGTAATGGTAATGGAATTATTATTTTAATAGAATAAGGGTGACAAACGAGCACACAGTCCACCTGATGGTAAGTGGATTCTGTGGTCCATAGACATCTACATTTATTCTCGATTAAGAATCAATACGTTGATGCATTGTCACCCCTGAGGACTAAGATGGAATGCCTTGAATGAAGGTAGTGAAAGGGTCCTGGAGAAGAAGCAAGTCCTTATCAACTGAAATAAACCTTTTTTTTTATAAAACTGAACTGGCAAAGAAACTTGCAGTCCACATAAGTACCTAGTCTATGGACATCCGCATCCAACTACAAAAAGATGGCTACATATGTGTTGTGTCCTTTGAGGACTAAGAAACTGGAATGCCTCACAGCTTGTATCTACACAGGCTGCCTGGCCCTTCAGAACATAAAACAGCGTGTAAACACTATTGTTTAGGTGCTAAATTATGTAAAAAGATGGTACCTTTTCAAGCGGACTCTTAAGCTTAGAGAGATATACGTGGTAGAGCCACACTGCAGGTATATTATGGTTGTAGCAGGGATGGGTCGACTCGACCGGGGAAGGATCACGCTCTCACAGAATACCAGCGTAAAATAGCAGCTTAATACTGCAACGTTTTTATGATAAGTGTAGAGAGAGAACCGGAAACCCTTTTTTATTGGCAACGAGGCATTCCATCTTAGTCCTCAGGGGTGACAACGCATCTGAATTTTGATTCGAAATCGAGGATTAAAATGTAGATGTCTATGGGCCACAGCATCCACTTACCATCAAGTGCACTGTGTGCTCGTGTGTCACCCTGATTCTATAAGAATATAATCCAACCACTTAGAAAAGAATTGTTAGAGTTACACGGCTCTTATGGTAGCTATAGTTCTAATGTAAAATTATACGCCTGAACATGACTATTTCCCTAAATTGTGAAAAACTAGGGAGAGAATCTTGAAGTAAAATAGAAAAGAAGTACCTACTCTTGAGTTGACACTGGCATGTTGATGATGTTCGATATATAGAATTATTTTCATGTGTTGATTGATTGGATTGCTTTCAAATCGAAAATGGATGTACAGATACATGCCCAAATAAAAGAAATATTTTAACCTTGGCAAGTTCAGCAAAGCGTCAATTTGACGTCAAAACTTGACGCATGGCCTAAATTTACAAACCGATTTTCCTTATTAATAAATAGCATCTCAATATTCAAGGGAATATTAATGTAGAAATTATTTTATTCTTTATCGTTTTTGAAGTCGGTTCCCTTTTTAAAAGTTATTTTAGATAATTTTGACCTTTTAAATGGATTAAGGGATATCACAAATTGACAAAAAGGCCGTCTAAAAGGTCACATTAAAAAGTTCATCTCGTATTTACCAACCCTTTGGGTTTTTTTTATAGAATAGGGTGATAAATGAGCACACAGTTCACCTGATGGTAAGTGGTTGCTGTGGCCCAGAGACATCTACATCTGTCCTCGATTACGAAACAAAATGCAGATCCGTTGTCTTTTTACGTTGAATTTTTTTAAATGTGGAATTAATTATATAAATATTTTCCAGGAGTTTGTTGTAAAAGCCTACAGATTGCTCTATGAATGCGGTACTTGGAGTCGAGAAACAGGAAACCAGATAACCAGTTGCTGGTAATGTATGTTTATATTTATTTGATCATCAACGATGAAGGCGTTCATTAACCCAATGACCATTGACTATCGAGTTCTGCGTTCAATTGTTACTCATAACTTAAATCCACGAATACGTCGGCTTGACCGGGGAAGAACCACGCTCTCACGAAATACCAATGTAAAGTACGAGCTTGATGCTGCTGTGTTTCATATGGTGAGTGTCTCCGGAGAAAACTTGAATTTTACTGGAATCGAGGTACGAGGTCTTAGTCTTTAGGGGTGACAGCGCATCTGCATTTTGATTCTCCATCGGGGATGGATTGTAAATGTCTTATGGGCCACAGCAACCACATACCATCAGGTGGACCGTGTGATTGTTTGCCACTTTTC